TTGGGTTTTAACTCTTATCGGCGAAATAAAAAATATTTTTCATCTAATAACTGTTATGAAACAACGTTTTCGTAAAATTCCAGAATTCGGGCAACGTTTTCAATTTGTAAATTCAAGATAACAGTTATTTTTGGTCGCTGATGAGAATTGAAGTCGGTTTTGTGTTTTTTTTTTTTTGCTTAAAAATTACTTGTTTTATTTTATGTTATTTATTTGAACGAATAAATTGGAATTTGAACGAATAAATTGGAATGGCCTCCTATAGAATGCACGAACGTGGGTTTGTCAACTGTATGTATGTATGTACATTAGACTGCATCACTCCCCATACAAAAAAAAATCGGTACTATTTATCCATTGGAATTATAAAATCTACTATATTTTAAGACGTCCACCAAAATATTTCGGAAAATATTAAGACTTAAGTGAGCTGGACCGATTTGAAAATACCTCCAAAAATGGTTTTTTTTTATGAATAAAAATAGTTTCTTAAAGATTTCTTTTGAAAAAATCCCCTCAAATGACAAAACGGCTTAAGCTTAAAATATTTGCATAAAAATATTTAAAAAAAAAATTAAAAAAAATTTTAACGGAATCGTAATGATGATGCTGTTTTTAGCATTTTTCAAAGATTTGTATAAGAAAAACTTGAATAACTGAACCTAAACTCTTCCGATTTAGACTTAAGAGGTGTCATTGGAAAGGTATTTTCTCACCCTTTTCATTTATTTGCTAATAAACTTATTCAAAGGATGGAAGAGAAAGGTAGGAGAAACGAACCTCATTCAAAGTTGAATTAAGATCTTTGGTATTCGAAAAAAAAGATGGGACACGAATGACGCTTTTAAACGGTGTGAAAATACCTTTCTACTGAGATCCCATAAGTCTAAATCAGAACATTTTTGGTCCAGTTATTCAAGTTTTACGTAAATCAATCTTTGAAAAAAGTAAAAAAACAGCATCAAAAATCTCATTCTTACGATTCCATTGAAAAGATTTTTAAATATTTTTATGCAGATTTTTTAAGCTTATTCCAATTTGTCTTCTGAGGGGACTTTTTAAAAAATGTTCTTTAAGAAACTATTTTTATTCATAAAAAACTTCATTTTTGGAGGTATTTTCAAATCGGCCCAGCTCACTAGAGATCTTAATATTTTTACGAAATATTTTGGTGGACGTCTTAAAATATAATAAATTTAGTAATCCCGGCGGAAAAACCGCAACTTTTTTTGGTGATGCAGTCTAATGTACATAAATAAGCGAAATTAAATGAATCAACTATGCGTTTGAGTTTCAGTTAAGCAAATAAGTGTAAATGAATCCATTTAACCCATTTATACTTCATCCGTGACTGAGAATCAAAGAAGCGCATGTTTGACGTAATTATACATAGATGGCCAAGCTATATAAATACAAATAAAAAAAAAAAACATCAAAAAGAACCTTTTAAAATATCGTTACGATCACATTTACACTTAAACGCATGAATTAAACTATAATATTTAAACAAAAACAACAATTAAGTAAATACAATAAGATCTAACGGCCTACAGTCAAGCAGCTATTTATGTATATTCCATATGCGTAAACACTTGCATACATACATATGTATGAAAACAAACAATGCACGAACTTGCTCATACAATAGCTTTTCTTAGCAGTTAAGTGCGATCTGTTACTTGCATACACTTGACATTAGTCATGTGAAAAATAATAGAGACAAGACGTTTTCACCAATTCTGACTATTTTTTTTGTTTTTTTTTTATCAAAGGTTTATTATAAGTCTAAATTTTAAACTTTGTAGAAAAACAAGAACAACAAACTCTTCATAAATAACTTTTAGAAAAATTCTAGGTATGCAGTTTTATAGCCTATCAAATTCTAGCTTAATAATGGCTTAGAATTCGCGTTGATTTTTGAAAATTTTTTTTTGCCGATGGTTTTATTTGCGTGCATAAAAAAAATTTGTCGAACATACTTTGTATAGAGGAAAAAATGTGTGACACCGTTGTAAAATTATGGGAATTTTTATAAATTTTTCACAAAGTTTGAAATTTAGATTTATGTGGTTTTGGTTAGATAATGAGCTCCATTTTTATAAAAAAAGAACTATTAAACATTACACAAACAAAAGAAAATTGTTTAAAACTGGTAAAAATGTTGTGTCTCTATTATTTTTCACATGACTATATGTGCATACATACATATGTACATATTTATGTATAAGTTAACAGCACGTCTTCATCGAAACATTTCGCTTACATTTGTTATCATTTCAATTTGTAAACTCTACTTCAAAACATGGCAGTTTGTACGGATTTATTGGCGTTTTGGTCACTGCTAGTGTGTCTTGAATTTGTGCTAGCAACCAATTTATATGCTGGAAGAAAACTTCGACTACCTAGGACTTTGATATATCCCGAAACAGCACCGACTCGTCTACAAGTAAAGAAATGAAAAACTTGCAGTACTACTAATAACTGAAAATGTGTTCTTAACATTAGAAAAAATAACAAAGTTGGAATTAACATATTAGGTTGATTAACGAAAATTTTAAAGAAATAAGTAAAATTAATAGCCGAGTGAAATAGTAGTGCAAAGTATTGTCTAACATATACACACGTACTTAAAATGGAACAATTGTAATTGATTAACAAATCTGTGCTTACAAATACATATCTTAAACATTAAAATTTTGTTAACTTGGTAGATTTACGCAAGTCCAAGACAGATAATGCGAACCTACATCGATTTTTCGTATCTCCTGTCAATTTAAAAAAAAAGGACTTGTCACCCTTTTATCTTTAGGTAGCGATAAGTAACATGTTTCTATAAATGGACTAAAAAGTTGAAAATAATTTTTCCTAGACCCATAGAATTTGCCGTGTGATATGATTTGTGATATTTAAAATAACAAAAAAAAAAAAAACTTGGGGCGTGACATTCACATGACCGGAGTTAAGGCTCAGTCCAATCACTCCAATTCGAACTACAAGAATGCTGACTACAAAAAAAACTAACTTTTTGTAGAAATGTCAACTTTAACAACTGATATCTCAACCGGAAACTTCTTAAGAAAATAATTAGTATGCACTTCTTTACTCTGAAGAATTTATTTAATGAAGGGACAAAAATAAATCGATTTATCGATACTTTAAAAAATTACTTTTGGCCACCAAATAGTAGCTGCCAGACCATAGTGCGACATGGCGATAGTCTCTCTGTGAATGTCGGCAATTGCCAGTCTATACAGTTGTTTGTTAATTTGCGCAGTTATGAATCTCGTCCCGCAGTTCGCAGAAATGCTTCCTAACGTGCCGAGGTGAAAGTTTTGCTTCCAGCACGTCGGCAGAAAACTACAAAAAAAAAAGATTTGAGCATGATATGTATTATGTCCCCTTATTCTGTGATCATGGGTGCCTCACTGGGAAGGTGATGTTCAGTCGCCGGTAGCTGCCCAACTAATACATTAGGGGCATTCTCGCAGACTTGCAAATCCCTTGCACGGTGCACTGATTGCACGGATTGCGCGGTAAAAACCGTTCAATCTGTGCATCGTGCAAGGGATATGCAAGACTGTGAGAATGCCGCTATTTTGGCAAGCCTAAAGCTTCGGCCACTCCGTCTTACTTATCTTCGGTGACCAAACAGGCGCTGATTAGGCTAGAGCCGGTCGCCCAATTGTCTTGTATGTTGCCAGCAAGCCTTCTTTGTCTTTGTCCCAAGCGCTTGCGGCTCAGTACATTGTTGACAATTGTAATTGTGTATGCTGAGGCTATCAAAGGTGGCCCCAAGAATTTCGGGTTGTTCAATGTCGGAATTGGTATGCCGTCTACATACGTGAACTCTCAGCTGTAGTCTTACCAGTTTCATGCAGGTGGTAAAAATGGTTGCCAGCTAAAAAGCTGGGAGAGAAAGTGGTTCACTTTTGAGCAAAGGTCATCAATTCAGCGTACGAGATAATACAAGTACAAACTTCCTCTGGTGGTTGGGAAGCTTCAAAAAATAGAAACTAAAGTAGAAACAAGGAAAAACTTGGATGGGGCTGGCCGCTGTCTGAATTCGAAAAAAGATCGGAATGATTCAAAGACATGTAGGGATAAGTTTTTACAGAAACGTTCTCCTCATCGACTGAACTCTTGACAACAGCAGACCATCTAACCTTGTATTCGTTTTCGTCTTCGTAATCATCTTGGTCTTCGTATTCAACTTCGTGTTCGTTTTCGTTTTCGAATTCGCCCCGCATTTGTCTTCGAATTCGTTTGGCCTTCGTATTCGCATTTATTTTCATATTCATGTTCATATCGACTGCTGAGTGGAAGATCGACCTAACTCTTTTCTAACTTTTTTTGAAAAACACCCCACCTCAGAATTCTGTTCAAAAACGCCCTACCTCGCTTCAAAATGTATTGAAAATGGCCGTTTTTGAATCGGCAGCTGAGATAGGCCATTTTTGAAACGAATTCTAAAATAGGGTGTTTGTAAAAGGTTTTTTGAGATAGGGCTTTTTCAAACTGACTGCCGAGATAGGTCGATGTTCCATTCGGCAGTCGATATTCATTTTCATTTTACATTAAACCACTTTATTTTCTACTTATGCAGTTCATTGGCGGTATTGGTATACCCGTTGAAGACTTAACTTATGAATCGGTCACCTCTGGCTACGTATTAAAAGCTGAATATTTTATGCCTACCAAGGCAGCAGAAATGAGGCCACAATATCTGACGCCACAAAATGTAAATCGACGTAGCCTTGCAGATAATGTTGAATACAATTACACAATTGCGCATGCGTACAATATCAGTGAGAATCAGCCATCTATTTTGGGTCCACACCACGAGAGTTCCGATATTAATTTGCAGGGTAAACAGAAGACGGCATCGGCTTATCGTTGGGTCATCTACAAAGGCATGGAGACGCTGATGAATCGGTGGGTGTTTTTTTTTAATTTTTTGATTTTAATTGTATTTTTTTATTTACGAAATTTTTGTTTTCTATTTGTACGCGTGTAGTGCTGGCCTTTCAGGACGTGAGTGTATGCTGCGCAGCATTTGTGAGCACGCGGCGGTGCCATTTCACTATGAAAGTGGGATTTTATCAGAGATTCTGCATATTATTTTGACGTAAGGGGTTTTGAGACATTTGTATGTAGTTATTTAGTTAAATGTTTCAAATATTAACCTAAAATTTTTTAATTTAATCTAATTTCGTTTTATATTTATAAGTTTTTCATTTTATTTTATTTGACTTTAATTTTTTCTCTACATCCCCCACAAAATATTTTTGATATGCAGGCCTTCGCGATCGCATGATGAATTGGTTCACCCAAACGACCGAGATTATGGCCGTGCCGAGCGCCTTGGCCGAGGTGGCGAAGACTGTGCAACGACCTACGCTGCATGCGAGTACTCTCCTATAGAACAAATTTCAACCGTTTTAGATCTAGATGTTGAATTTAATACATAAGTAATAAAAATTTGAATTAACCTTACCGGTGACGTTCACTTCAAACCACGATTTCTAATTATTATAATTTTTTTTTGTACCAAAAAATTTACCGAAATCCGCTAAAATATCTTTTAACTTTATAGATTTAATTATTCAGGCATTCTACAAACACGCATTGATGATATACGTACATATAATAATTGTGAACTTGATAAGGGGCATGCATCAAGTCGTATGCAGAATATGGTCGCCCGACGACTGGAATTTAAGGGTACCGCCTACCCGCCAACTACCGAAACTTACCGAAACTTATTCGGCTGCGTAAAATTCCGTTGAGCAATACCACCAGCGCACATAAGGACAAAGGGCCTAATTACGACGACAGAAATAGAAAAACAAAATTCTTTAAATCTTATCACACATACCTTTACAATACTCTTTATAAACCATACATTAAAATCCTACAAGCGGAATGCGAAAAGTGGCGTCACGGTAACAACATCTCTTCCAGAGGGCGCCAATTTCAAAGCCCATTTTATGGATTTTTAGTATCGAAATAGGTACATTATTCGTTTGTAAGACAATTGAAAGACAGCAGAGAAGATAGTTTGAAAGTTCGTTCGAAAGTCTTACGAAATAAAGCTCCCTTGCTAACTGTAATGGTGAAAAGCTCTTTTGACAGAAAGCTTCTCCAACAAACGCAACGGCCGAGTGAGCAAAGCACTTGCGTACCATTCGAAAGATCCAAGGATCGAGCCCTCGGGGAGCTTGTTTCTTTTTTCTTTTTTGAATACACTATTTTTTTTTTTGCTAGTTTAATTTTTGGATATTATTGTTTTAAAAAGAAAAGTATATATTTTCTTTAATTTTCGTTTATTTATTATTTATTTTATGTGTTTTTTCTTTATTAACGTAATTTTTTTTTCTTTTTTAATTAAATTTAACTTTCTTTAATTTTTAGTTTTTATTGTTTTAAAAAGAAATATATATATATTTTTGCAATGTAAATATAAAAGTATTTAAGTATGTCCACCAATGTAATTACCGGATATTTAAATCCTAGAGATTCAGTTGGCTTGCACTCAAAAAGCTTTAAAAAAAATAAGCGATATCTGTGTTTCTTGCTGCTGATACAGAATTTTAAATTGGTGGTTTATTTAGGATATGCAATAACGTCAATCTGTTTTCATATACCTTAATTTTCAATTATTCAGGACTCAGAATTTTGCACTATCTTTGATTTGTACAATACATACATACAGACTACATATTTATTAATATGCGGTATGTGTTACAATTTAATGATCTATCAGAACAAGCGTTACTCAATTCTATTACAAATTCACTACCTTGTTCATTAACACGTATTTCATACATATGCATGTATATACATATCGTTAGTAAAGTATGGAAAGGGCGTTACGAGCATCGTCGCTGAAATACAAAAAGCCGTAACTAAGTAAAAATCCAAAAATCACTGTTTGATTGATTTTGATGCATTTCATCGAATTATAAGTTCCCACATCGTTTTTTGCAATACAATTTTTTAGTTAGTTGTGACTTTTTTGCATTTCAGCGACGACTTTCCATACTATACCATCGATATACACATACATATGTAGTGCAATGTGGTATGTATATGATTACGAGTATGTACATAAATACAAAACGTCTTCGCGAATCAACAGGAAGCAAAGCGAACTTAGTGAAATTTATGATTTCTGTTTTCCCTTTTGTGTATTCTGTGGATAATTGAGCGGTTACGCAGCAAATCCTTAATGTATTCAAATTCAACATATTTCCTATTAGCAAACTGACCGCTGCGGAATGCAACAGACAGTGCAACTTGAGTGTAAAACAATATAATTACATACGCATTAGTACATACATACATACATACATACAGTGACTCACACAAATGATCACGTGTTGATTTATTTAAATATTCGTAATGTTTTTCGAGGTAAATTTTTTTTTGTTATTTTTCTATAAAAATACCGCCCAAGCTTTAACCAAAACCATATAAATCACAGTTTCAAACTTTATACAAAATTTAGGGTTATTCAACAAATTTTTCTCAAAATTTCAGCTTTTTAAATTGAATTTTTAGAACATTTTTGGGTATGTAGTTTTATAGCCCATAAAAATTTACTCCAATGAAGAGCAAGTTTCAGCTGGCTAAAAAATCGCGTTGATTTTAGAGAATACTTTTTGAAGACTGCTTTTACGGTTTTTTTTTATATGTTGTTGCTAACGGTCTCCCGCACTTTATTTAATAAGAAATTCTTGAGTATATTGCAAAAAGTGCAAAAACCTGTCACAGAAAAAAAATTCTTAAAAATCAACGACATTTTTTAGCGGTTTGAAACTTGCACTTCATTAGAGTAGAATTTTATGGGCTATAAAGCTACATACCCAAAAGTGTTCTAAAGATTCAGATTAAAAAGTTGAAATTTTGATGAAAATTTGTTGAATTTTCCTAAATTTTCTATAAAATTTTAAACTGTGGTTCATACGTATGGTTTTAGTTAAAGCTCGGACGGTATTTTTATAAAAAAAAAAATAAAATAAAAAATTTAGCTCGAAAAACATTACGAATACTTATTGAAAATCAACACGTGGTCATTTGTTTGAGTCACTGTGTGTATGTATAGACATTTCATTATTAATTTATGCTTTATGTATGCATACTAATTTCCCGTGAAGTTATGTTTATGGGGCGTAAAATAACTGTAGTAAATAGGTTGACAGAAACCCCTTCATTTATGGCCGGTTGTGCAAAGTCTGGTTAATACAAATCGGAGCTAGAAGCTGTGGCTAAATACAACTACTGCTTTATCGATCAGATGTTATATGTATGATGCCGAAAACGTCGATAATGCTATTTAACTCGGAGCTACGCATAACCAGACATTGAGAAACTGGTCCTTAGTGGTCACAGAAGAATTGGAGATAACTGTCAAGGAGTGTCAGCCTTGCGAGTTCGCTCCCTCTTGATTTCGTCAGGATCCTACCATGTTTTCCCCCCTTCAAATAGGTACTTAAAAGGATGACTCCATGGGGAGATTCTGCAATCAGTTACCGACAACTTTCGGATCACTATCTCACCTTATCGATATTCATAAAACAGTTATGATAGTGATCAGAAAATTGTCGGTAACTGGCTACAGAATAGGCACCCAGATGTCGCAGCTCCTAGAGAGTACAGCACAGTTACAGAGAATATAAAGAAATGTTACTTTCTCTTCGAAGTTTTACTCCCAGTAGTTCTGCATATTTAGCTATAGGTCTGTTAGATATCATCGCTACCATGTCAAACTATCTGATGTGAAAATTGGTAATTTTTTAGGGGAGCAAAAAAACTTGTTGTAAAAATGTTGTTCTCATTTGGAAAAAGTGTAGGATTCGACACTTTGTTAAAGCCAGTATCTCTGCTTCTAAGCAAAGTAGAAATTCGACGATTTGCCAACTTACGTATCAATCCAGATGCATGCGCAAGGCATCCAAAATGAAAAAAAAAATCATTTATGCTCCCTTCTCATAGAGTATAAACTTCGAGGCCATTTTCTAACCAACCTAAGTCAAGTTTGCCTAGATATCATTTTATTTGATAGAGCATAGAAAAATTCTTTCAGGAACCACTTGCTTGTCGCAAATAGCATACCACCTCTATCTAGAAGGATCTGTTTGGTCCATATCCCTTGGAAGAAGTTCGGCTCTGAGTTTATGTATAGCTGAAACCTTAGCCTGTAACGCACTTCAGTAGTCTGGTATAAGAAATGAGCACCTCTCCAAAATGTTGTTAGTAGGGAAGGCTGATGCCCCTGCATGAGAGTTGATGCGTATTCCTTACCAGCTCCTCTCCTTCGTATTTGCATATCTCAGCTGGCAGGCTATTAGCTCTATCAGCTTTTTTATTCTTCATCCGCGAAATTACTTCTTCGACTGGAGGCTTAGGTTCATTTCCACTACTGGTTTCAGGGCTGTTACCATTGAGAAGAATAGATAAGTGTTTTAGCATGCACTGGACCTCGACCACCAACTCACCGTGCATAGGAATTCACCCTGATCTTGAATCCTTCCGTCAGTCGCCTAACATTCCATTAAAACATTTAGACGTTCTTCCTATTGTCCAGTATTTCAGCCTTTTCACTCTGATAACTTCCTACATATCCAATCGCATTGAGCCCTCGATCTGAATGCTAGAAACATAAAGCTTTAAAAACAGATGTCGCGAAATTTTCGAACTGTTTATCCTCCGCAAGAGCCCACGGCACTTAAATAACGTGTCAGGTTATACCATTTAAACTTCTTTGTTGAATAGCTTGGGTTTACTTTGCGAGTGATGAGGTGTTTGCACAAAGACACACTTACATGCATTTATATGAATACATGCATGTAATTTGAATACACTTTTAATCAGCATTGGTTGAGATTAATTGTGGCTGATACAGGATGCTCGAAGAATAATTAAATTAAAGTGAATTTTATTGTCAATTAAGCCATTAATGCATAATCATAATAATTACGTACTGCATTACAATGGTGGATAGCTGAACAATATCTGGTGATATGTGCATACATACATATATGAGCATTTCCACAGAATGGTCGACCAGGACCAAGAACTAAAATGAGAAATCAGATGTATGGGAGCTATAAGTTGAAGTAGACCGATTTTCACGGTTCCGACAAATGATTAATACATTATAAGAATACACTCGCTTACCAAATTTCAATCGGATGTCTCGAAAATTGCGTTGAAACAGTTGGACTTGGCTAAATCGCTTCAACTCGGCGTTCTGATCATTTTGGAAAACACGTATGTCTTCTTCTTCTAGTACTTAAAAACATCGGACTAAATTTATAATACCAATTTATGTCCATGAAAGGTATACAAAACTATGGAAAAATCGTACGTTCGCAACCGGTACTTACGCTTATAAATAAAAAAAAAAACTTATAGAGATACTTCAAGGCACAATTAGTTAGGAGGAATTTACTTTATTCCACTTTAATATAAAATTAATAGTTTTAGAA